AGGCGCTCAATTAAAAGCCTATCAGTTTGTAAGTAAATCAACGCCTATCAAAGTTGTCACATCAAACAAAACGATTATTATTGCAACCCGCCTCTGCCATTAATCTCCCTCTGTGGTAATCTGCTTGACAGGTCAACTTGGAGAGCAAGAAAACCTGGAGTGGACGGTCAAGGGGGCAGAAAATGTCTTTCCCTAGAAATAAAAATAAACAAATACAGGGAAAAAAGTTTTCCTAGAAATAAAAATATTTAAATAAAGACAGTATAACTAAAAAAATGCAGTGTTGGAGTCCTCAATCTGCCGCAAATACAATTTGGGATGCAGGTTATGGTGAATAAAATAAAACCAAACAGACATTTTAACCACATGGGCAAAATAAGAAGAACTTAAGGAAACAATTTACAAATAAATCTAATAATACACAAAGAGTAAAAACACACTTTCCCCAACAAAGGGTATGAAAAAATAGATTGAGCTCATATATAGGCCTGTGCTGGTAAACCGTGTATGAACTAATGAAAACAAGCTCCTCTTCCTTATGAAGACATAACTCATAATTCTGAGGTAATTCAAATGAACAAAAATGCTCCAGTGGTTCTTTTCAATTTCACGTGAGATTTAGAGATGAGGGAAGAAGAGGAAGAAGAAGAAGGGACAAATGAGGAGATTTAATTTCTCCAAATGTTCCCAGTGTTTTTCTCTGGCAGACACAAAAAATAAAGGTAGTGTGTGTGTGTGTGTGTGTGTGTGTGGAGGGGGGGTGCGTTTCACAATATGCAAAGATGTGTGATTGATAACAGGCTTGCTGTTTTCTGCAAGGGCTGTCAGTCCGTGACACAATATGTGAGTTATTAGGGCAAAGAAGGGCGACCATAAATTTCCACTGTCAGGCGAAAACCCTCTTTATTGTCCCGCATGACGAATGGGCTCCTGCACCAGACACCAAAATACTTGGCGTTCCCCCTTAAACGGGAACACATTTTCTTGGCCATAATTCACGATATTTAAATAGAAAGTTTTTAATATCCCACCATATATTTCATAACGCTGACGTGTTTATGAATAACTCCCCGCATACAAATACAACTATTAACATCTCGTGAGGAAATATTGTGAAGGATCCACTTTGAGCTGCACGGGCCGACTGAGGAAGAGCCACATTCACAGTCTTATGGCTAATTTAATGACCATACAAATATAAAATACACAATCAAACTTTTTTTAAATTGCAAATCCTCAATTTTTGTTTTCATAATTTAAATAAACTGCACATTACTTGTACCAGGTCTGTTTTGATGCTCTTAACATTAAGTTATCAATTTTATTTTCTGCTTGTAACTCCCTGCTCTATTATTTACTTGGAGATAATAACCTGAAGCCAATGTTTTTCTCTTCTTCTTCTAATAATGGACGCATATTATTTCCCAACTCGCAGAAACAGATGCAATAAGACGCAGGTTGCACAGGAGACTATTGAAACCATTCAAACGCATGCACGAAAAAGGTTCTTTCCCGCAAAGTCCAAGGAGGAAGAACAGGCTTTACAGGAAAGTCGGTGGCACGACATTACCTGGACGCACTAAGCTCCGGTGTAAAAACGTCAGAGGGGGGTAAAGGAAAAAAATAACTCAACAACGAGTCCCTCTGTGTAAAAGAAAACGCATTTTGAATGAGTCAAACACAAGCTCTCATTGCTTTCTGTCAGATGTGAGACACCGTGGAGGAGAAGCACGGTGGAGCAGAGACTGAAACCATGCGCAACACACAGACACTCTCTCTCTCTCTCTCTCTCCCTCCCTCTCTCTCCGGGAGAGAGCTTTTCCGAGTGTGGGAGGTCCCACGTGACGTCACACACACACACACACACACACACACACACACACACACACACANCACACACACACACACACACACACACACACACACACACGGGGCAGAGGAGCAGAGTGTTGCTCCCTAAACTTTCACATCATCTTCAAACTGTGCAGGATCGTCTCCTACACTCCAGCAAAGCAACACAACAGCTCATTTTCTACTCAGCAGCGTCTAATGCGTCACAGTCTGGCTGCAGTGGCCACAAAGTGCACAATACAAACATGAATGAACGGATGTGAGATATTTTGTGAGGTATATCATCATTATCTGTTTTTTCCCCATTTATTGAATCGTCACATCAAGGCTGTGATCTGCTTTGTGTTTTCCCTGTGAACATCTCCAATAAGGCCCATCAGTCGTCTTAAATTAAATCGAGCTGCACCACTTTTCACACACACATTTCATTGCCATTACTATATCTGATTATACTCATCAAGGTCCGTGGATTATTTAATAGGAACTCAGGGAAAATGACAAAATTCGATTTTGTTCTTTCTTGGTCTATGTTTTAGCCTTCACCAAGTTTTGTGGAAGTCCGTCCTCTAGTTTTTGTGTGATCCTTCTGAAAACCAACTAACTAAATAAACAAGCAACCAACAGACCGTCCATCCACCCATCTATCCACCCAACCAACCACATATCCATCTATCCAGCCAACCGAGGAAAGAAACCAAATAAACAAACCAACAAAAAAAAACAATGGCCTGGGACAAAAACATTACCTCCTCGGTGGAAATAAATACCTCTGACATTTTCCATAATCCTGTATCATCAGTAATCCCAAATGCGTCATCCTTATAAAGTTAAAGCTAAAGTTGATATGCAGTGTTGGAACCACAATAGAACATGACTGACAATCAAGAGTAACAGACATATCACAGTTTATAAAAACGATTGGCCCGCAGCACAAAGTGCTTTTAGCTGACCTGCAAAGCTACACAAAGTTGTGACTAAGAGTAAAATAAACACGACTCATATGGTTTATATGAAGCCGTGAAGGTTTGTTTACATTCATGTTATGGTATGTATTCAGAAGAAGTCCCACCTCGGACTCTTACAGTACAAATGGAAAGTAGCGCAAATATTTCATCTTAAAATGCATTTTATTCCATTTCAGAAGTTTAGTAAACAGTATTGTCACCACCTCTGTGTGACAGAACTTTCACATTAAAAGCCTACATTTGAATATTTATTTTGCCACCTTGGATGTTCTGTGGCAGCTGGGTCATAATCTGGTTGGGAAGATAAGTAAGTGTGAAACAGATGTAATAATTTTTCAATTACAATTATGCCATTGCCCTCAGGTCCATTTAAGTAATTTAATAGAGACCCACTCCCATCATATCTTTATCCAGTTATCTTTAATAATCCATGTGAACTCGGGTCATTTGGATCTTTTTCATACAGAGGCGACAGATACATGGACTTATTAAGAAAATTTATATTTAGAACAAGACTGCACACTACAACCCATTTATAGTTACACTTACTGTAATCTTAAATGACCAACACACACAGGTGGGAGCGAGATTGTAGACATAAATATAAACTGCCCCAGAAAATATGCTCAGATATTTATATAAGCCGCCCTTCAAGGGGTTTGAAAAGTTCATTCTTTTCCTCGGGTTATACTGCTACACCTTTGTCCTGGTGTGTATATTACAAGCCAGACGTGGCACAAACAAGCTGGGGTTGGGTTCAGGGTTGTTTCATTGTGGAAAATAATATCAAGCAGTCAGAACCAGTGTTTACAAGGTTTACCTGCGTTAGAGTCAAGGATTACATGTTGCCACATTTAGTGATATGAAACCATCATTATGTGCCAAGTTCAATCTGTATCACTACTGCAATTTTAGTGGTGAGGCAGTTTGTGTCCTTGTGTGTGCTACATGATTGTAGTTTAGATCTTATTATCCCAAACTATAGACACATTGACAGGTCTCAGTCCAGGAACAGGGGTTTGTAGACAATACGAGTTGTATTCCTACTTCTTCAGCTAACTGCACTGCAGATGAATAGGTGTATAATTTAGTCTCAGACACGTGTTGCAGTTTCGAAACCAAAACTGTTGTGTTTATTGGTTTTGTGATGTGGTCTGGACCGAAACCAATCCCAAACAGAATGTTGCAAACCTTTAGTATTATGATTGTTCTTCGAGGCAATAAGAAAGATACAGCAGCCAGGTCACATGAAAAACCCACATGACTGTTGTCAAAACTGATTTCATAGTGATTATTTCTTTAGTAGTTTTCACAGCAAACTAGAGGGGAAAATGCCACAGGCAGACAATCTTGATAGTCTCCTGACTACATAACTTGCCATATAACTGGGGTCAGTAGTTCATGTTCCGGCTGTAAATGTAATGCTAAGTCAGAGCCTGTTTACAGAGAGCCTGTCTTCAAATAAATGTTGTACTGAAATTGGCTGCAATTCACCTTGAGCACAACCTGGAATTTGTGAGAATGGAGCTTTTTCCAGTATTGGAAATTCTCTGGCTAGGCCCGGTTTGAAAAGCAGCTTCATGGAAAGTATTTCCAAACATATTTTTGGTTTTGCAAGATGAAGTTCTCACAAAATATTATTGAAAAATGAGTTCTGCAAGTTTATCTCAGGTTAATCTCTATAAAAGATTCTGGATTTGAATATGTGCTAATTCATCATCAGACAATAGCTGATGGGCTCAGAGATGGATCCCAGGTAATCCCCCAGTAAAGAGCAACACTACCTGATTCACCAAGTGGACCAAAGGTACTCTAGCTACTTAAACGTTGGTAAAAGAGTGGCTGCAACCACATGGACAACACTATTCCAATAGTAACCAGATTAAGATAGTAGTCTGGATAAAACACTATCATGTAAACAGCTTTTTCTTATGACCTAACCAGAATAATGTCATACTTGGAATAGACCATAATCAAACTAAGACATGTGCAGTATTCTGACATGAGTCTCGTTATGTAATCATGTATACATCTTTATCACAGTGTAACATCTTATTGCAGTTTTCACAGCATTTTGCAACATCGGCATGCAGAACTTGACGCCCTGCGTGTAAACAAGATGGAAAAACAAAAAGTTGTACTGGATAATTCACTCATTATCTACTCACCACTATACATGGAGGGGCGCGTGAAGTGTTTGAGTCCAGGAAACACTTTTGGATATTAACAGCAATGCAGCTAAATCCAATACAATTCAAGTAGTCAAATGTGACATCATGCCTCCTTTCTGCTCCTGTGGTGTCATCCAAGTGTTCGTAAGCACAGACATTCAAATTCTACTTGAAACAGAGTCATTCACACCAAGTCTTTAATCTATTTCAGGTTGGGGCATCGAAACAGGCGGAATAACACTGGAGTTAGTGGTGTAGTATCTGTAATGATGTGTATGTAACAATTTAACAGGACATGAATGGAATATATTACTTTAAACACTGTAATTTAATTGTTTTATTCTGAATAATAAAGTGGAATATAATGTGTAATCCATGAAAGATGCAATAAATATTTTTAATCACTGTGTTTTCTTGTCTGCCTGGTGTCAACAGGTGCTGAATGTCTGGTCTAACTTATTATCTGTCTCTTGTTTAAAACGATGAGTTCAGACTCTTTCTATAGTGTGAATAGTTTTACTGAGAGATAAACTGATGCGAAAACATATTAACTTGAAACATGGAGGGAAGGAGAAACCACGCAGCTTCATGTGTAACAAAGTGGCCGCGTGCTTCCGCACAGCGGCGGGTCAGCTGATGGAGACGGCACGCGGAAACTGTAAAACCAATTGGAGTAGAGCAGCGGTGGATGAGGGGAGTCCCCGGAGCTTTTATCCACGTTAACGTCCCCCGTTTCATGTCGACCACTGCGGGGCTAACTCTTAACGTGAGCACGACCTCCACCTCCAGCTCTGACGACGTGTTTTGACGTGAGAAACCAGAGAGACACGGAGAGAGCGGCGCTGGGATCCTCAGCAGGAAGTTATGGCGCACAGCGAGTCGTTGGTGGCGTTGAACGGGACTCAGGTGAGTTAGTTGTGGAAACTCTCGCCGGAACTTCGGCTCCTCCGTGTATTTGCGTGACTCCTCAACTTGTGCGGCGTGTTTGGCAGGTAAAGTTTATCTGGCACCGGGGTCATGTGACTCCGTTGCTATAACGACGCAGGCGGGAGTCTCGCTTTTGCAGTTCCGTATGACGAGAATACGTCATAACGTGAGTTTTGTGCAGACACCCTGTTTGAAGTATTACACAGTGTGTGTGCTGATGAATGGAAAGCACACATCCAGTCTCTGCATTCCTCTATTGTTAATATCATTAATATAGTCATCGTTTAAAGATGGGGCATCCTGAATGCTGTGCTAATAAAACCACAGCAATACTCACTGGAACATCATTTTCATCTATAGAAGAAGAGCATTAGTCCAAAAATATATCAATATAATGATTGTGCATAGTTCAAGCACAATAACAAAACATTACAACCCTGTGCATATCTGCTACCCCTGCCTGTTTGCACTGTTTGTGTCTCTTTATGCACTTATTTTGTATCCACTTGTCACTATGGTTTTTACCTGCATCCTCTAATGTACACTGGGGGCTATTGCACTGATTTTTTTACAATGAGCTCTTTTACTTTATTGAAATTTACTTAATTTAAATTTTTCTTACTGTACATTCTCTATGATATTACTCTCATTGCATTGCTGATCGGCCCTGTTTGTCCAACACTCATTGTACCGTTGACCCCGCATCGTTTACCAACTAATAAACTTGGAACTTGAACTACGTCACAAATGTTTTGCTCTTTTTCAACTGTTTGCCACAACCTTTACTCAGGAGCAAAATATCTAAACTTACCAGAAACAATAATGTGATGATTTTCAATATTGACAATTAAAAAAAAGTATTTTTGGTCCATATTGTCGATCCCTAATCTCGTATCATTGCTGGTTATCTCACAATTATCTGTTTTATTATTTTTAAGATTTCCTACATCGCACATGACTGCAAAGACATTCCAGCCTTCCTTGGAGACACGTACGGCCACTTTGCAAGACGGCTGGATCTGAGTTTCAATCAGCTCAGGTAGGTGTTGTATACTGCATGTATGTCTTGATGCATAATGCTTTCTGTCTCTTATATAGCTGCTTTCAGACATGCACTGAACTCCAGACATTTTCCTGAAATCTTCTAGAGGGGCTGAAAGTTTTGAGGCAAATGTCCGAGTTCATTGTGGCAGATATTGTATGGAACTTTTCCCGCCAGCGCCCTAGTTAAATGTCCAGATAAGGTCCAAGTGTGAGAATACAGCAGGGACATGCCTGGAAATCTAATTGCAAGCGAGCAGGTGTGTTGATGACATTTCTAACTCATGACTGATGCAAATCGTGGTTTTCCCAGCACAATTTATGTTTTATCCCTTTTCCTGCCTCCTGCATGATCTACCTGGGCACCACCCCTTGCCTGAGTGTTCCGGACATTTTCCTGTTGTTGTGAACGTGTCTGATCTGCACAGTCTCAAGCTGCTTTCTTCAAGCGTGAAAGGCAAGGTACGGAAAATGTCCAGACCTACTTGTCCGCACATTTTCCATAGCTCATGTTTAAATAAAGCTCCTTTCCCTCCCCCCCTCTTTCCCTCTCAGTATGCTACTTTACATCAGGTGCAATTTAATGTGCGCCCTCAGTCTGTAGGTGGCCAGAGTGTCATCAGAGCATCAAAGAGCTGAATGAGTGTTAGCGCTGGGCAGGTGTCACACTGCAGCGAGATAAAAGGCCCGATCGATGAATGTGACATGCTAATTCGGGGGGGCAAACAGAAGACATGATTCCTCTGTCAGGACATGAAGGAACACCTCGTGGCAGCTGCTTCAGAGGGGGCTGCCATATCAACAGCGGGGCAAGTGTAGTTGATCTGGCAAGCCAAAGGAGGGAGATGATGGTGTAAGGTGCTTTTATTTTCTGAGCCCTTTTCATGACTGTCAGGCCATGAAGCCGCCACAGTCGAGGCTATTTTATTTAGTTGAAAATTGTCATCTTGCGGTTCGTTGTTTGTTTGTACTGGAGATGTGGAGGTCTCAAATAACCTGATGTACACTGTGTCGTTTTTTTCCTAAATTCTTCAGTCGCACGGTGTTCAGCAGCAGTTTATGGATTAATACATGAAGACAATCACTGGTGAAGTGCCTGTGAGCAAGGCAATGTGAATATGACTATGTGTAAGTGTGTTAGTGTGAAACAGATGTTGCTCTAGGGAAGCCTGTGACCTGCTGACCTTTACTGTGTTCGTGTGTGCATTTAACCAGCATCTGTGAGGAACTGCTGAAAGTCATGTAGACTGACAATGTTTCCCATCAGTAAGGGAGACAGCGTGTGTGAGTTTTCAGTTTTATTAAAGTCATGCTGCTGCAGCTATGATCTCAGAGCAATCACCTTATGATTTGAGGAGGTACTCAAAAGGTTAAAGAAAATAAACAATGACATGAACATTGTGTTTGCTGTGAGATGCATGATAACACTAATATGCAGCTAACAGCAACCTTTTGAGTCAGTGTCCAAATCTGTGTTTCCATGAAAAGAAGTTTTGAGTCTGAGCTTGACAAAATTTGTATTCTTTACACAAGATGATGTCCACGAGATCATAACTGCAGTATGTGTGCAACAGCCAAAACGTCGATGTCTTGGTGTTACCCTAGAGGAGGCATGTTTTGTCTGGCAAACAGCTTCATGGAAACTGACTGGAACAACCCTTATGTGTGTTGGTTTCGTGGAGATCAAGGGTGGCATTATGATTCTCGCCCTTGAACCTGTCACATTAAGGACTTGATGTTTAGAATCAAATATTTATGACTAAGATCGTACTAATTTATTATTAATTTTCACTTCGGCTAATCTCACATGTCAGATATCATTACTGAACTTCAAAGGGTGGCATGGGCAGGGAAGCGGTGCAGAAGTAATGAGGTGGTGCTCGAACCATTTGGGGCTCAAATCAGCGGACTATTGATTGATGGTTTGCTGGTGGGCAGAATGATCTGTTACACAGGGCTTCATCTTTTTCTCCTCTATAGACTGTGCGTTTAAATTTAAATGGTTCACATTGACATCCTGTATGCTGGGGTATTATCAGACATGTCTTGAGGTGGTTTTCCTTTATTGCAAATGTTTCATACATTCATCACCTGCTGACTTTTAAACTTGCACATGTTCTACATCCGTGATAATATATTGAACCTGATCCCCAGGAGTGAGTTGTCTTGGCAACATTACCTCCCACTGTAAGTTGTCTGAGCTCTGTATCTTGATCTATAAAGTACACATCACTGACCTGCTAGTGTAGTTACGTAAGCTTTTTCCACTGTATACATACATGCAGTCCATACCCATATCACCCATTCTCCCTCTCTGTTACCATTGGTTTCTGTGGGCGCTCACATGACAACATCAGAAGGTCGTTGCTGGGTGAGTCTGTGAAACCCAATAAACAGCTCAACATGTGATAATGCTATATGTTCTCCGAGTAGTTCTGATCCCTGTAAGAATGCACCTGACAGACCCCTACTCACAGCTGAGTGCTGGAAAACCTTTTCACGTAAAGAATTGTTTTCCTGCCAATGAACTCTCGCACTGCTGTGCCTGTGTGTGTAAATTTTAAAAAATTAGGACAAAATCAAATACCATATTTTTGACACACTATTGTAATTAAAAAATACTAATATTGAAGTGTGATCTTGACCTTCCTATCATTGCATTGTCCTATAGCCCGTAAACATCCTGGACATCTCAGTCTGTTATGAAATTGTCTTTTTTCCTGCATTGTTTCTTTAACTTGCACCCATTCATTTTTATTTCCTGCAGAGGAAAACCATCTTGAAAACAGTTATTTAGGGTTAAGGTTAACCAGATTGCTATTAACCACAGATTATTGTAACTTTTCCACAGGCAACATCTTTCAGTATTTATACAGGGATTCAAATCCATTTGGTCCATTTTTGTGTCACAGCAGTAGTGCCCACATTTATCAAATAAAAATGTGAATTTATAAAATTATAGTTATCAATACATTGTCTAATGCAAAGTAATGAACCAGAATATCTGCACTGTGCAGCAGCAGAACACATTACAGAGGAGTGGAGTCTTGTTTCGTGGCGAGAGAAGAGTCGAGCAACACGGTGGTTTGGGTGTTTTGATTTAAACCCAATGATGGTAAAGAGTAAATTTAAAAATCTTATCTGATGAAGGCAACATCTAATGTTAAAGATGAAAGTATTCACTCTACAGATATTGAGCCGACACAATTCTTTTTTTTTTAAGTGCCGCATGTGATCGATAACACCAGTGTTATGGCATCACTATTGTATATTTAATCAGCCTTGGCTTATGATAGGTCAAATTAAAGTCACACTTTCAGCCCTGGAGTAAGGAAGGGAAACATCCCCAGGTCAAATACTATAAGTGGGATAATGTTGTTTTGTTGACAGTCATTTACTCACAAAAATACTTTATTAAAAGTTATATAAATACTATTAAATACTTTAATTATTACCCAAAACGTTTAAATAATATACCGCATGCTTTCTTATTGAACTGTAATGCGGTTTAGGATTCATTTGTTTTCATAATATTATCGTATCCATCATTCAAATCATATCACCTCATTCCTTTCATAGATTTTTCAGCTTCAGCGTTTTTGAATGTAGAAGTTTTGCTGCCCATCACTTCACGTTACACGTCAGAGATTGTGTGACATGTATATTGACACCATGACCCCGTTTCAGTGTCAGCTCAAGCGAACCAGTTGTAAACAGATGCACATGTTAGTGAATCTCGGTGGACTGCCTTCAGCGTCGTGCACTTCTCGGTGCTGCTTGAGTCAAATCGAGTGGGAGACATTGCCGGAGTTTGCTGGAGCTAATATGCTTATTTCTGTCAGCTCAATTGACAACACTCATCCAGCAACCTGACAATGAGTCACAATGAGACGCAAGGTACTGGCATCATCTTTTAACTGAGTCCTGTGCGTGTTCTTTTTTTTGTGTGTGTTGCACATAGGTTTATGTTTGTGTGTATACTTGCGCGTGTTTGCTTGCATGCAGTGTTTGTGCATCTGTCTCTGTGAGCATAACTGTGAGTGGCTGGGCAGGTAATGGCAGGATGAAATAATGGTAGCGGGCTGTCACACCCACACCTCTCCCTCCGCGTGCTGCGATGTCAGCCTGTCTCATCAATGTGTTGAGACGTGTGGCTCACAGCGAGACTTCTGTCTCAGGACGGGCTCGGGTGGCATTGTGTTGTCCACTTTGTTCCAGGTCAGGTGTGTACACAATGCGGCGAGTGGGCATGTGCTGTGTTGACATGGTTCTCCGCTGTGGCTGGGGTGCCTGCATCTGTTACATGCGGCACTATCACCTGTGGACACATGAGGTTTGAGGAGGACGCGTGTCACAGGAAGAGTCTCTTTCTTCTGACATCTTGAGAAAACAAATCACGTCTGTGCAATGCCAGCATTCGTGAAACCTTAGGCCAAAGCTGAAAGAGAAGCCTGCACTTTTTCTACTGCACATGTGATATGAAAATTCTTATTAAAAAAACTGTGACATATTTGTTGGTCATTCTAGCCGATAGTATTTTTTTTCAGACCACATTATATGTTTTATTTAAATTCTATTTTCTGCAGCTTTAAATTAACGTCAAAATATGAACTATTACAATACAATTAGCAAATTTCAACTCTTTCACTCTAGTTTGTGTTGGTGTTGAATTCCATTATGATAAACTATTTTTCATGGCAAAATATTTAAAAAAATAAGTATGAATTGTCTTTTCAAGTTTAAACTGATCTTCTGCAATTTGAGATTAGTTAAAAAGTGATGTGATGACACTGCATAGTAACTCAATCACACCGAGATCGAAAACGAATTTGTTGATGAACTGAATCTGTTATTTGATTATGAATCCTAGTTGTACAATAGTGTCATTTCAAATCCTGTATGGGATTAACATTGTTCTTTTTGGTGTCACAGTTTCAGAGCGTGCAGCCTGACCTACGCTCTAGTTCTGATGATGTATCGCAGCCCATGATGTGTTCG